CCTGCCATCGGATCAGCGCGGTGCGCCGGCCGCAGCGCGCCGGCCACGGCGGCCATTGGAGGGTGAACCAATGGCAAAGGAAGACCTTTCTCTTTGTCTCTCTCTCTCACTGTCCACTCTGCCTGTCTAAAAAATAAAAAAAATAAAAAATTCCCATTTTTTTTTTTCCAAATGGCAGGTTACTTAAAGTTCTCAGACAGACTGGGGTCAGCTCAGAGACAAGGGAAGTCTTCTGTGAGTCCTTGGCAGCGGGTCAACAATACCAGGCTGTCAATCTACACCTGCACTCACTTCCAACAGAATCAGAATCCAAACCCAGCCAGCTGTGATCCTTTTTCTACCATTACCACATTCGCAAGTAGTCCAGGCTTAAGCAAATCCAGACAACAGGAGAGCTATGAAAATGCCATTCATCACCACACATTCAATTTCTTTTTGACCATGGAAGTGGTCCTATATACACCAGCGTAGTTTTCATACTTGGACGTACCAAGGAAAACACACAGCAATCTTTTCACTCTCTAAGTCACTGGTGTCAGGGGCTGCCCCAAAGCTAAAGCTAGACAGCAGACCTCCAAAGCCTCGGCTGCACCTTATTTCAACTCCTCTTCTTAACCAAACTCCAATGAACAAACTTTCTAGACACCGGTTCTACTGGGGGGGGGGGGGTGCTTTTAAATAATACTGCCTGAGAAATGGCTTCTCAGGGTGAGCTGGGCCACAAGTCACAAAGACAACACCTCGATCACACAAGAAAGGGGGGACTGATGGATTCTGTCACCCAGTGGTGACAGGTAAGCCAGGTCAGATCAGCGAGACACGAATTGCGGTGTCTGGCTGGCTACTGTTACCCTGAGATTCTGATACAGGCACCTACATGTCGGCACACTGCGCTCCATTTTGCCCTAAGTGCTGAGACAGGGCCCCCATGAGTCCCAACACGCACACAAACCCTGTGGAGTCAAAACTAAGGCAACGCAGCCAAAAGCGAACCTGACTTCCCTACAAGAACCCAAACAACTTCACACCACGAGAAGCCCGAGGGGCTGCGGCCCCTCCAACTAAGGGGAAGCTTGTTCTGCAGTCGCTTTGCCAATACTATCTGCCTACGAACAAGGGCGAAGCACTCTTCTGGGAGCTCCCAGCGGTTTCACAACACATCCAAGTTAACACAAAAGCATTTCGCAAGCAGAAACTACCCGACACGACCTCTCAGCATGAGCAAACAAGGGCAAAGTTCAGCACCACGCGAGGTGACAGCCACAGCCACAGCCACGATCGTTACTCGTGCAGGACCTCACACCCCAAACAGGCCAGACACACCCAGGACCTTACCACACACACTTTTCCAACATTTCGGCTCCTGCGTACGTCCAACTAGACCCAAGAGAGAGGGTCCAACCTAACCCCAAACCAGGGCGTGAGCACCAACCAGTCCACGGACGGAGCTCAATGCTCTAAGACGAGGGGACGCTGCAGGGCACAAACCACAACATCCAGCACACCCCCAAGTGCCCCGGCGCTGGCCACCCGGACATTTCAAAGGCAGAAAGCCAGACGGCCACTCTGGGACCCCCTCAGACCGTCCCTAGCTGCCAGAGGCCTCAAGGCCAATGGAACAGCAACAAACCCCAACGTTAACCCGCCAGAGCGCTCTCCCACCTCCCAAAACACACTTAGCAGACCCTTGGCAACCTGAGAGGGCTGCTGCTGGCCTTCTAACGGGACAGACAGCCCCCCAGACCCCCCCAGAAAGGCAGAAACTGCCAACTCCCCGCCTCGGCGACGGCCATCACAGCAAGAGAACGGTCTTTTGCGACAACTCCCACAATGCCCGCGGCCTACAACTCCCAGAATGCACCGGGCGCCGTCGCGCTTAACCCTTTCGTGGCGCCAGGGCAGGCGAGCCCTGCTGCCTTCCCTCCCCCCCGCCAAGCCAAACTGTTGCACTTACTTTCAGCTTTACAATCCGAAACTAACTTCTGGAATTCTGCTAAGTAGTTACAGTTATGCTATCTCCCCGACTCCCCTTATCACACAAACAACCTCAGCTGCCCAGAGTGTTATCCCTGACACAGAGCTATTTGTTAATCCTCAGAGCACTCCTCACAGTGTCAAATGCTTCACATTTAAGGGGCACTCTTAGCTTCCGTTAATTTTCCCTTTCCCCTTCATAATTTTCTGGCATTTTTCTAAATTACTATAGCTCAGGGATCCTTGTACTTAGCCCAATTAGTTAAAAATCTGATTTCTAATTTCTGAGAAGCAACAAGAAAGAGTGTCACTGTCTCATAACTACCCCCAATGTTCCACATCTCCTCATTTTATAAGACGAATTTCCTTAAATATATCAAAAAAATCCATGCAACTACAAATAAATCCTAATAGGAAAAAATTAATAATAGGCAGTATACCTTTTCAATTTCAAGTCAGTCTGTTTTCAGGGGAAACCCTATTGTGCCAATATACTTTGCTTTCTCTTTCTCTGTATTGACAGATAATCAAAAATAGGATCGACCGCTTTATACCTTTCTGACTTTAAAATACCAATTAACAACAAGTAAAGAAATACTTTATTATAATTTGAAATAAAATAAGAACATTCTTTCAGGAAATGGCACAGTCACATATTTCATGAATGAATGAACTCTCTGTAATTCTCTCATTTTAATTAAAAACAGGAGTTTTAAAATGCATTTCTTTTACACATTTTGCTGTAATTTTCGTAAGGACTAACAACCATATTTAGAGATCTCTGTATAATCATTAAAAGTTAAATGTCCAGAAGCATACACAAAACTGTGATATGCCCAGACGTGTGGCAAACTGAGAGAAAATAATTGTGTGGTATTTGGTGCGTGCATTAAAACAACAACTGGAACTCTCCCAAAGTGGCTGCTATTTTTCTCATATCTAAATATAAAGTAAAATATACACAATGCCTGATTTTTCCACCAAAACCATTTTGCTATTTGCAAGGGCACTCAAAATACATCATGAATTTTCAGTCTCAAGTCTCAGATAGCCTAAGACACAAAAACCCCAAGCCTTGTTGGAAAGCTGCATCTTTCCAAAAGTAAAATTCTACAGAATTCTATTTTTAACGTGTCCCTTAATACCCCATTTGGCTTCTTCGTAAAATTTTCATCAAGCAAAGTACAGTGAGAAAAATACTTCTCCATCATTTGTTTTTTTCACTTATGTATATTATGTACTTTCACAAAGATTTAGGGCAAATACTAGATATCAAGATTTTAAAATTTGTATATACATGTATATTTGGAATTTTAGTCCATTGTGCTATTTTAGCTTCTGTATTTCTCTGAGTTTCACTTAACGCTTTAGTTAGTATCTAGGTAGGCAGGAAAAGTTGCATTTTTTCCCCTCTAATTTTAAATAGCTTCCAGGCCATAGAAATGTAATGCATATTTTATATAGTATTCTCCTGACATTAAAATATATAATGATTCCTAAGAAATGCTCAAAAACAAGTCAGAAATGAAACTGGCTTCTTTTACTTATTACCTGCTCACAACTCTCTTCTCAGTACTATGAGATTATATTTTCCATTAGAATGTTAGTGACTTTTAAAAATGTTTTACTGTCAAAATATATAATTTTAAGACTTGACATAAAAAGTTTATGTAAAAATTACATTAGAAATAATTTTATAATTCTTCAATATTACTATAATCCTTCTTTTAAAAATAACTTGGAATTTACCATACTCTAATTAGGCAATTTAAGTAACTTATAACTTCTATAAGCTTAACAATAACATAAACACCTTTATAAGAAGAAATTTAATTTAGAAATGAATTCTTCAAATTCAAACCAAAAAGTTTGGTATTTTTCCCCAAAGCTTTTAGATTCTACTTTACCACATGAATTTTTAACGTATATATTTTTCAAGATCAAAACTCTGTACTAAAATTTTTAAAATTCTTATGTAACTACATTAATATATTTAAAGATAGGAAAAATCGTGTGTCTTGTTGAGTCTATATATTTATATGTTGATAGAAGACAAACATTGCAATGTATTTCTTTTTCCAAAGGTAGTATTGGTGTCAAAGCTAGAATGTACAAATGTGCATATGTACAGCAGATCTATGGATAATTTCTGTAACTGTTTCTTTTATTCTTTTAATTTCACACAATACTTCAAAGCATCTTAAAATGTTTACTGAGACATTTTAATGGCATTTTTAGTTTATCTACTTTAAAACATCTGTTTTTCATATATGTAACATAGTTTTCAGGCAAGTGAACTGTACTAATAGAATTATTGCCAAAAATAGAATGAGTTATTAATATTAAAATATGCTTTGAAAGTTAGTCTGCCTTTTCTTTTCCTACATTACCAGTATAACATAATTACTCAAAAACTAAAAAGAGTTTACACACAAAGCACTACAGTTTCCTGCTTGATTAAACAAATTGTTTATATTCACATTCTGATCTTAAAAAAGCAATATTTTCCCAGCACGTGAGTATTTTCCAGAGTTTAAGTTTCTTTGTTAATATCCAAATCTTAATTAACTTTAATTCACTGGCCTGGTTTTAAGGCTTTCAGATGTGCCAAAATAGTCTATTTTTATCATCACATTGATTTACATTTGTGTTTAGGAATATTTTCGGTGTCTAAAAAAATCTCTTGCTTTTGATATTGCTAAGTCTTTTTAAGTTGCATATCAGAAACATAACTTTTAATTCGGTTATGTCTTACGTACTTCAAAAAGAGGGATCATGGGACTCACAGGACGTCAATCTATGAGAAAGTACAGCAAAAAAGGTCTAATTTGATTTATCAACAAATTGATTTTTAAATGAAAATTCTCTATCTAATTTGTTTTATTTAGTTCAAAACCCTGCATTGTGTCACCTCCATAATATTTTGCATTAGCTGGATAAACAAAGTTTAAGTATATCACTTCTTGCCTCTAGTTGGAATGCTGCATTTTCAACTGATGCATAAATAACAGAAAACATTTCCTTACCTAAAGAAGAAAGGTTTCACCTTTAAAAGAATCTCCAATGTTCTTCAAAAGATGAAACTGTTGGTATTTTCCTATAGAAATTAAACAAAAAAGGTAAATGATTACAATCAATTCTACTCTGTGAAAAAAAAAATCACATGGGATTATGGGTATTTGACTTTTCTGAGTCCTAACTTTAGATAGCAAGTCTTAAATATAATTAATTAATTTAATTAATGCTGCTGATTAAAAAGTCCTGCTTCACATTTTATCACAGAGCTGTCACCAGATTGCAGTTTCTTAGTCCCTTGGCTGTTTTGTATTTTATGCTGCTGTTGACATATTTTGGGAATCTTATTTATGACTCAATAGCTTTAAAACTCTCACAAGAAATTTAAATCATTAACTGTCCTTAGATATCTTAAGATATTTTCTGATATGTTATAATGCCTGTTTAACAGCTTATATAGTGTAAATGTCAAAAAATGTGAAAAACAAGTCAGACTGTAAAATTTCTAACTTTAACAAGGTCTTTCTAGCTTCCCATCAATTTCCCCAAAAAAGAGATATTTAAAATATTATATCCTTTAATATGGAATTACTACGGTAAGCCGGAATATGATTTCAGCAGGATTTTTAAAAACAATTATCTTCTCCCTCTCCCTTTTTCTGTCTGTAACTTTCTCTGCATTTTAATGTAGGTTTACATTAATTAACTCACACACCTTCTCTCTAAAGAAAGTTATTTTCTGCTTAGAAAATGCTCAGATTCCTTTTGTGTCTCCTTAATTCCTTGTAGTTCTACCAGGTCTTAATGTAGAGGCGGAAAATGTGTAGTACGTTCCTTCTCCCCCTAGAAAAAGAAAATGCTTTCCTCTGTGTGATTCCACACACCCCTCTTAGCTTTTACGCATTCTTATATTTTTTTTATCTGAGAGAAAGAGACAGGGAGTTCTCATCAACTGGTGTACTTTTCAAATGCCTGCATCCGCCAGGACTGAGCTGGGCCAAACCTAGCAGGCAGGAACTCAATCCAGGTCTTCCCCAGGGGTGGCAGGAGCCCAGTGATTTACATCATTCACCCTGAGTCCCAGGATCTGCACTAGCAGGAAGCTGAAGTCTTGTCCACAGCCTTGAACGGAGCCAGGCGCTCCCATGAGCCCGCATCCTGACCGCCAGGCTGACACCAGCCCCTTCCCCTTAGCTTTTTTTTTTTTTTTTAAAAAAAAACACCAACAAGATTTGTCTAATGCCTGCCCCCCTCCCATTTCAAGGGCATATTCTGAGTTTTGCTTTTGCGCTTTGATGCACAGTCACATTCTGCCTAAGGTTGCCTCTCCAAACAGCAGACAGAGCCCATGTCCACAGCCCACTGCAGACAGAGAGAGTTTCCTCTGCCAGGCCCTACCACAGCAAAGAACGCAAACCACACACACACACACACACACACACACACCCCTCACATCACTCACTGACAGTACCTTGCTCGGAACTGACCTTGGCGCTTTATGAGAACAAACAGAACCCGTAAAATCCACACGCACAGGCACTGACAACTGCCCTTCCTCTATGCCTCTCTTGGTGACCTTCGATTCTGCAAGCTATTCCCCCACTCACAAAAAAATAAGACCCTGGTGCCACAAACAATTTTGCAAGTTCAAAGCCAAGTTCTCTTTTAAGGGTGGAAGAGTTGGCTACTTACAGACCCCACCAATGTCCAGGGCAGAAGCCCCACGACCTAAGTCCTCACTCTGAACAAAAGTTGGAGTTCCGCCTCTCGTGTCACCTGCTTCCGAGGAACTTTATGGTGCCCCAGCTTCCTCTAGCTGTAACTTCATCCCATCACCCCACACAACGAGGAGACCCTACCGCAAGAGCAGCCAGGGGAGACAGTGAAATGGCAACAAGGCAGAGAGAAGGAGGCCATTTATGTCTCGGCTCCCCCCATCTCCCCACAGCCCTCCTAGCAGCTGTGCAGGTGGGCTGGACCCCTGGGCAAAGTTGAGCGGTGCCCAATGGAGCACCTCCAGTGTCGCTAGTCCATTACAGAGGGGCAGAAAACAGTCTGGTGAGAAATAAGCGGGATGTTTTTCACTTTGAAGAATGAAAAAGCCAAGCTAAAAGCCTCTGTCTCAAATCCTTGCACATGTGGTAGGTGAATGGTTTTTATAAAGAAGAACACACAGTGGATTCAGGACCACCAAAGTCTGATCTTTGCTTCAGCCTCAGGGCCACAGACTTGTTTTTCTCATTACAGACAGACAGACAGACAGACAGACCAGGGATGCAGGCTTCCAAGCCAGTCCTCCTTCTGTGATCCAGCGCTATTGGAACTGGGGAGCCCTGCAGCCCTTCGGGAAGAGTACGCCCACAGCAGCTGGCAGCCCGGGCCAGGGGATTGCAATGGAAACTCAGCAAAGCATTTTCAGTGAACTCAAAGAGGATCCTGCCCCTCCCCTCCTCGGGACTCCATGCCAAATTAACCCGGAGTCATTAGTTCCTATTGAGACGCTCTGTTCTTTGAAAGAACGCACTAGGCACAAACTCAGTTAAAAGTGATTATTTGAAAAGTCCAGACACATGCATTCTGAAGAGTAACAGATTAACATAAACTGCTTACCAGGTTCAACACAGCTACAAATGGAATCTTCGTTTACTAGAACTGTCAAGGCTGCCAAATTCTCCCCCAAACTTCCTTTCCCTTTAAGGAAACCAAGTTCCTAGAAATAATGAATGACGGGTTTTCTTTATCACTAACTTTTAAGCGTTAACTGCAAATCCAATCTAAGTCTGTGAAATGTAGGATCACATTCCATCTCTCTTTTCCCCTCCTTCCTTCCTTTTTTCCCTCTGTCTTTTAATTACCTTAGGAAAATTCTGCCTTCCCTCCTCTGCTCCCCTCCCTGGGAATCTCCGCTTTTCTTTCATCCTTATTCCAAAGTCTCTGCATAAAGCAGAGGCCTCCCTGGTTTTACAAAACTGGCCGCATGTCGCCAAACTCTATCCTGATGAAAACATAAAATGTAAAATGAGAGGGTTGTACTAGACCGTCTCCCAGGTCCCATTTAGCTCCAACTATCTATATGCGTCTATGCTGATCCAGAGAAACTGGAGTATCTCCATGGCAGCACCCACACTTGGACCTTATTCCTGGATGTGCTACTGCAATTTCTCTGGGTCTGCCTTCCCTCCCCCTCCCAGTACCGACAGTTCAGCAGAGCCTTCGCTGCAAATCTGCAATCTGATTAAGGCCACACAGCCCGCATCTACCCCGGGGAGGGGGTGGGGGGAGGGCTCAACCAGAGACCCCTCAAGGGCACACAGAAAGGGCCCTGGGTCAGTTTTGCTAAGTACTAGCCCTTGGCTTGTCTCAGGTCAACCTTTGCAACCACGATGGCCTTTATATATTACTTTTTCTGGGCCACATTATTTAAGTTTCACAACTTTGAAGATAACCAGAAGCATCATGCACCTGCCCAGGTAACAGACACTGTGTTTCTGCGAACTTTCTGCTGAGTTAGCATGTGACACTCGCTTTCTTCTGGGCGAAGAGTCCACTCTTCGCTTCTTTAACCAAATTTATTTTTTCCTCTAAACAAACTATTATGTATCAGTGATGATGATAACCCCAATTTTCCATGAAGACCATCACTACCACCAGTCCCTTTTTCTGACCCAGCTGAGTGTCTGTTACCACCACTTTAACACATTCTTGAGAAAAACAGTGTTGTCTGCTTTACTTATCCAGCCACTACTATTTGCACTTATCCTCATTAATTGCAACATTTATTCTCACAGGTAATAGACACTATTCTAAGCTCTTCACATTTAATCCTAACAACCTTACAAAGAAGAATCCTTTTTCTTTTTTCTTTTTTTGAAAGGCAGACAGAGAGGGAGAGAGAGATCTTCCATCCACTGGTATACTTTCCAAATGCCTACAACAGCCATAGCTGGGCGGAGTCAGGCCAGGCCAAAACTAAGAGCCTGGGTCTCCCACGTGGGTGGCAGGGGCCCAGCTGCTTGAGCCATCACCTGCTGTCTCCCAACATGCGCTTAAGCAGGAAGCTGGAATCAGAAGCAGAGCCAGGATGTGAAACCAGGACTCCTGGGCAATCCAAGCAACACGTTCATCTGCTGTGCTATACACTTTGTCCCAATGCAGAGTCTATCCCCCCATTTCACAGATAAGGAAATCGAAGCACACAGAGGTAGAGCCATTTGGCCCAGGTAAATCCCCAAGGAATACAAAGACCCAAGATTGAAAGCCACAGTTTTCAGGTGCAGAGTTTAAGCCATGATACCCTTCTTCCCAGACTAGATAATTTCCATTTCCCTGGCGTCTCTAAAACTGATTAGCCAGCCCTTGAGTACCTCGGAATAGCTCGCCTCCTAACTGATGAACTAGACATAACTAAAATATCTACAGAGTTTCTGTGAGCATTAAACACATTTAATATAAAGTACATAAAACAGTGTCTGTCACAGGGGAAAAGGTTTGAAGAAAGGTCAGCAATTATTATTTAATGGGACTTCTCCATCTGCAGCTGAAGACGCTGAGGCCAGCAGCTGGTGAAAAAACCAAGACTGGACCCAGAAGTATACACTTTGACTTTTTTTTTATAATAAAAATGTCATTTACTAAGCAGTGGTAATTTCAGACACACTTAAATTTGAAGGCTTTAAATTATCCCACATCTCCTGTTTCTTAGTCCAGGATTTTACTCGTAGAACTTTGCTGTTTTCTTCTCCAGCTGAAAAGAATTTGCTAACAGGCAAAATCCAAGGATCAAGCACTGCAGGTTCCCTTGCCCTGTCCTAGCCCACAGCCCCTTTGCTTCCAGTAAACCAACAGGTCCAACAGTTTTGGGAAGAGCAAGCTTGCCAATGGATTCAGATCTATTAAAAATCACCTCCGTGCTATAGTTCTAATCTTTTCAAAGGGTGATTTTTGATTTGGGGAAATTTGGTGCCTACCAGAGGCTTCTTGCTGCAAAATGAGCCCATTTTATACATACTAATTGCAAAAGAACTAGGTATTTTGAAGGAAAAGTCTCCTTCCCTGGATAAGCAAAAGTGAGGCTTGCCAAGG